GCGTACTCTCCCGTAAATTGTCGGAATGGTGAAGACAAGACGCTACCGAGGGCTCTGTGTCAAAAGGCGGAGTGTCCAGCGACAATCACGTCCACCATAGGGTGGGCTCGGGTGGCAGCCCTCTTGGGCCAGCTCAAAGTCCTCGTCGGGGAGCACCAGACACCATGACTTTGTGAGTAATCTGCACCTCCATAATCTCTGTGGTCTTGCAAGGCATTAGGGGCCATGTGGTCACTGTTGAGTAAGGGGGAGGAACAGACGAGGTGGGTAGATTGGAGCTGCAAAGGAGAGCTTGTAGAACACTACAATTGGCAACCAGCACGATTACATGGGTTTGTAGGCTTACAGTGGACATATGTGACATGTTTCGTAGCAAAGATATGTTGGATTTGACGATATACGACAGAGTGGTATACTAGGCATGTGCGAGAACCATTCGCAGAATGGAGAAAACTTACATCATGGACTCTTCTGCACCATATGCCCTCCGTAACATCCGCCCACAGCTACCAGTGAGCCTTCCAGGTATCTCCAGGGGTTCTTTTAAGATATATGCGCGACAGATGCAGAAGACAGCGTGAAATCGACCGAAGGCGGGTGGAACATCCGACATACGAGCGGCCAACTTAAAACCGGCACCGTGCCCTGCGCGTTATGATCCTGAGCGGGAATATGCAAGAATGAGGTGGTTACATTGAGCAGTCGAGGAGATATCGTCGTCCGAAGTTCCTTTGGGGGCGCTTAGGAGGGGAAAACAGGCAAATGCGCGAGACGCGGCGCGACGCTCTCACGAGCTGAAACCGGCTGTAACTCGCGTCGTGTCGTGGTCGCGTTCCGTCACGGTCAGGCGCTTGTGCGACAGGTCCTGGCTCAACTTCGAGACATTATCCACATCGTATAATCTCCGGCTCCGCTTCAATTTTTGAATTATATCACACTTACATACCTTAAAAGAGAATATAAACCAGTTTGAGGTCCATACAACACGTCCGACCCACTCTACTGACTGAGTTTTGAAGTGGCCATTTGGGCGTTAAGTTCCTGCTGGGGGCGCCTATGTATCCTGCATGTCTCGTCCCTCCTCATCTCCCAGGACCTTTCAGCGACTAGCACATACCGCCGATCGCCATTTCGTATCAAGGTAGGTACCTTTGGTATGCATAAATTTGCGGATATGCAACTGCAGAGCTTTCTAGGAACTCATCGTTCCCCCACTCTGACGGACAACGAAGTCGCGAGAACATTTGGTGACATCGAGGACGCTACGCGCTACCGCATCCCAACGTCGGAGATCATGCCATTGGAGATATCGAACAGGTAAGCTGGCATCTGGCGCACGTAGCTTTGTTGTTCACAATCTCTGGCGCGCAGGTGCTAGACGATCATTCTTCACTGCTCCTAAACTCTTCAAGCGATCCTTCTGCTCACGAGGCGCCCACGGACGCCTTCGGGCACACTGAAACGTAATATCACAGAGGAGGTGGATGCGCGTCACACATTCTATCTCCCTCCGGACGAGCCTCCACCGCTGGACGTTGAGCCAGCACCACGTCCGCAGCTACCTCAAGGTGTGGTTGGCGCGCCTTTGGTCCGCGTGTTCAACTTCTTGCATAAGATTCCTCATATATCATGGAACACCTGAAGCAACTCAAGTTTTCCGACGGCAGAGATGATGCCGTTATCGTACCAGCTTGAGATCCTATGGTATCAGGTTGGTACCAGAATTCTAGTCCGACAATGGCCCACTCTAACTTTATGCAGGCCGAGGGCATGCGCTCATTAGGCTGGGCAGAGTTCATGACCGTCGAGATGGCCAACAACCGCCAGACCATGGCTGTGAAGTATTGGGTACCGAAATCCTCACCTCCCAATCAGAAGCGACCGCCACAGCAGAGACCCTTGCCGTCGTTAAGCGGAAAATTGACCATCTCTATCGTCCAAGTGAAAGAGAAGACGGGCCGCAAGGGGTTTCGATCGCCGCGCGCGCGCGTGCTTGCTGAGCTGCAGTCGCGCTCGAAGCTCGAGGAGTCTTGACCATCGGACGAGGTTGAGCACATGCGCTTCGACGTCCACTGGGAGCCGGAGAACGGTGCGCTCGGCGTTATCCCTGCTCTAGAAGACCTGTTCATGCCGCCTGAGCAGCTTCGAATTGTACGTCTCCTGTCCACAACCACACATGATTGTTTCCGATAGTTCTGGGGGTTTTCGAGACAAGAGGTGGAGAGCTAACTGGTTGTGTGCCTGCCAGTATCCAGGACCTCGATATGGAGAGCCTGCTTCGGACGGTCATCCGATGGCATACTGAAGGCGTCATGAAGTTCTTCCAAACGCAGCTGCAGCGTGGCACCATGACGCGCAACATCTTCTCGCCGCAAGGGGACGTCGTCTTTGTCTCGAACGGTAAGAGTAGAGACATAGCTCGCATTCGCCGACATACCCATTTGCCCTGCAGAGGGCTCTCCTTCCTCGCAGATACACCTTTGCGCTGACAAGGTCGTCATTGTCACTGTCGACCCACGGACGGAACGGCTTACCCTACGTGACACCGGTGATCTCGCGGCCGCTGGTCGTGAGCCTCGCTTCGCTGCCATCACGCAGCCACTGAATGACGCGCCATTCATGCTTCCGCAGGCTCTTGTCTTATTGCGGAATGCTGTAAGTCATTGTTCACCCAGAAGTCGGATCCCGCTCACTCAGCATATATTTAGACTATCACCGACCTTGCGGAGCAGAAGGTGCAATATCTCGGCTTGCAGAGCTACCGGACTCGCAACTTCTCCGCCGACGGTGAGTCCGCTTTGTTTTCTCTGTCCAAAGTGTCTCCTGTGACTCAACCCTTCGGGCACAGAGATCAAGAAGCTCGGTCAGGACGCCCAAGGCCATATCTACATCCAGCTGGGCAACTTCCCGACGCACTACCTCGTTCTCGTCATCATCGTTCAGGATTTCCGGTATGCGCTTATAAGCGCGAAGGAGGTCGAGCACTCAATGAACCACGACCTCGTCATGGAGGACATCGGCTGGCTCAACGTTCGTCGAATACATGGCAACCAGGTCACGATAGAAGGAGGCATGGGACCCGATCCCATAACCGGTCAGAAGCGGAAACGAGAGGACGGCATGGGACGGGTGGGGCCAAGTGGGGAACAGTATCCCGCCAGCTTCCGTCTGGAGACGAATGTCCTTCGGGAGCTGTATGCCTACTGCTGGTGAGCCTCATTTCCATTGACTGACTTGGATGCTGCGCGCAACATTGGAGGAGCCGTGCGCGGCAAG